ATCTATCTATCTATCTATCTATCTATCTATCTATCTATCTATCTATCATGTTTACAATGTTCTGCCTGCATGTACACTGCAGGCCAGAAGAGGGCACCACATTCCATTATGGATGGTTGTGAGCCACCAAGTGGTTGCTGGGAATTGAACTCAGGACCTCTGGAAGGGCAGGCAGTGCTCTTAACCTCTGAGCCATCTCTCCAGCCCCTGATCATATGTAAATAAATCTAAACTAACATTTGCCTGCAGTGTCCTTCCAGTGCTTTCACACCCACAGTACTTCCTCCTTTGGCAATTAACATTTTTCTTGAGAATTATGCCTGGTCCACACAGTAGCTTTTAGCTACTTCTGATAAGATTTTACATTATATTAGCCTCTGTATGTTCAAGAATGATGCTATCTTCACACCATTATATTTCAGAGGCATAGTCAATGACTAGCATGTAACTTTAGGTTTAAGAAGTATTAGTAGTCTGGCAAATGAAGAGAAAATGGTAACTGTTAACATAAATTGTAATCCTTAAGTAAGGTGCTACTGAGGATGTTTGGTACAGACAATGACTAGCCTACCATGATCCATGTTTGTCCCAGAAACTTCAATTTAAGGTGCTCCCAAATGTTCATATAGTCACAGTTTTCCTCAGAAGCTTCAAATGCTTGTGGGCTTAGACATTTGCCCCATAAGAGAACTGCCCCTAAAGACAGCCAGACTACATACTACAAACCACGAGTATTCATTCCAAAATTTATTGCAGCTGCTCCACAGCATAGCGGGTCTTAGGGTCCTAACTGAGGGCACGATAAACAAATATCTAAAATAATGTCAGATAGTGATGGATGTCACAAAGACAAAACAGTAGATGGAAAGTGACACGGGACGCAGCCTTCAATGTGATCACACGACGTTCCCACAAAAGTGATATTTAACAAAAACTACAAGTGTTGGGGAGATGACTGAGCTGGGTACGGCACTTACCATGCAAGCAGGAGGACCAAAGTCTGGATCTCCATCAACTATGCAAGACCAGACACAGTAGCACACATGTGTGCTCCTAGGGTCAGAGCAAGTGCCTCGAGCCTGCATTATGCTAGACAAACAAGAGACTCGATCTCAAACAAGGGGGAAGGCGAGCCCTAACACCTCAAGTCGTCTTTTGACTTCCACACATACACGTTATAGCACACATATGTGTCACACGCACATACATGAATGCTCACACACAAAAAGATCGAAAACAAAAGCAAATGTAATCACAGCACTTTGAAACTTTCTGGGGATGATACTTATGTGTATGTTCTGACTGTATATCTTATAGTTACAATCTGATCTGAAATCTTATGAAAGGAAAAATTAAAGACTTACTTCAAATAGATGTGTGTTTTTTCCCTCGATTGAAGATCGTATCAGGTCGTAGCTCATTTGCATGACGTTATCAACATATGGTAAGCATGCTAATTGATAATCCAAACTTTTCACGCAAAAGATTCCCAGGCGCTTCTCAATAGCCATAGTCACTATCTGTTCCAGGTAGCTTCTGAACTTCTGTATTATACTTTTAAACTCAGCTGCTGTTAAGTTCCCCATAAATGGCAATCTCATAATCATGACTTTGGCTTTTTCTACCATGTGACAAAATTTTAGAAACTTGTGGCTGTAATCGCTAACCAGGCCCATTGAATTACCAATAACAGCCAGCAGACTCACAATCTGTGAATGAAAACATTACAATAGTCAGCACATTCAATCTGGGAGTGAAACATTATTCAAAAAATTTTTTCATAAGAGTGGAAATGTACAATTCAGCAAGATGATAGTTTCTGTTGAATGACAGTCTTTGTACAACTCATTCTGTTTAGAGCTGGAATTAAATGTTGAAATAAGTTGGAAACAAGACAAATAAATGTAGATAACACTTGACTTTATGCAAAGCTTGCTCAGATATTTCACTTTGTAATCAAGATGTTATTCTAAACTATGTTTTAAAGAAACCAACCATCTATTTCATGGCTTGGTGCCCTATTTTAAAGTATCTGCTCTTAATATAGGATCAGAGCAAACCAGTCCTACGTGTTTATAACATCATCTTAATTCTTAAGACACAGTTCATCTGGATAAGGCAGAATCCAGACACAAGCTGAGATAATTATATTCTACTTTGAAATTGGACAAAAAGGAAAGGCTGGTGAATGGCAAGCCAACATACTGGCAATCCAATGTTATAAAAGAATGACAGGGAGGAAAACTCATTTCTACAGTGTCTATGGTAAGTTGAGATCAGAGACCATGGGGAAGACAAATGTAGAAATAAACTAAGATGATTCTCCCATTGCCATCAAGTTTTCAATACATCAGGTTCATGTAATAATCGCAGTGGGGCTCTGCACCCTTACCAACCATTTCTAGGAATGCTACCTTGAGACTTACGTTGTTTTGGTAGTCATTATCTGTTTCAAAAAGGATATGGTAATCCGGCCATCGGGTGTGCTTCTTATATTTGATTACACTTTCTCTCTGAGTAGATAAATCCAGAACTGAAACCAAACTAATAAAGGTAAACAGGCGAGGATCTTGGTGAAGAGGAATAATTGTGGCTGGAACACAGGATTGAAAAGTTAGGATTTCCAGAAGTCTCTCGGAAGCAATGCTTTAAAATTAGTCACATTATCTGGGCCTGTTAAAAACTGATGCTGAATAGCAATAAGCAGACATCATTCAGTATTGGTGGAGGATTTATAGGCATATACGGAGCATAATGTTAAATGTTTACATTACATTTAACATTATAAACAGAAGGGACTGTCACAAATGAGTTGCTGTGGTAGGAGGATCCATGCTAGAAATAGAACCTGAGAATCCTGTCTCCATGTGGAGACTCCACAGTGACAAACACAAGCTTCTACTGGGAAGGAATTGACAGTTTAGATGTCTGTGGACCCCTCCCTTCACCCCCAACCAAGAAAAGAAACTCTGACATATACTTTATAGCTTACACAAGTCATCTCAAGATGAAGCCTACATCTAAAACAGAGTTGAACTCTGTATTTTTCCAGGAGAAAATAGTGTGACCCTAAATTAAGAAAATCCTAGATAAAAACAACAACAACAACAACAAAAAACCCCACAAAAACCCAAAAGCATAAGGCATGGTAGAAACCAACTGATGTGTTGGAGTTTATAAAATTAGGTGACTCAGCTCTAGTAAAGATAATGAGAAGCTAAGGCAAAAGACAGAAATGCTTACAACTGTTAGAGCAAATAACAAATTTGAGTAGAACACTCACAAGACTTCTCACACACAGCTGCAAGTAGAATCTCATCAAAGCTCTTTAAGCATTTGACAAAACAGACAGAGAACTCAAAGGAAACACAACCATTTATCAATTCCTAGTGAAACAGAAATTACCAAGATGCGGTATTACTGCCTCCTTATTGAAATGAATGAGGGAACTTTTTAAAGGCCGACAATACAACACTGGCAAAGGTTAGGAAAACTCAGAAAGCTTCATGCACAGCAAGTAAGTATATAAAGTATACTGCTATACTGAAAATATAATCTAAGAATTCAATACAATTAACCTATACTGTAGATGTGTAAGTCTGTATTTATGAACAATAATAATTTAAAAACAGAAAGGGGGACAACTGTTCCTTATAGAAGAATCCCTGGTGACAAATGTGTGAGGAATTAGAGGAACAGAAACTGCTGTTGTCACAGTTGACTGGGGCAGGATTTTCCACTGACAAATGCTAAAGCTAATGGACACGTCTTACAGCAGAAACATGATTATTTGTAATCTCTTCCAAGCTTCCCCAGGACTATCTCAGTCAAAAGCATCCGATTAGCACTACTAGTAACAAGATGTGCGACCTCAGGTGCTACTGAACCGAGACAGGGAGAGAAGGCTACAACATCTGTCCCTAAAATGTATCACCTCAGACACATCACAGGACAACAGCTAACAACCAGAACTGATGTACACTATATCGGGTAACTAGTACATTAAAAAAAAAAAAAACCTTAAAGTCACAAAACTCAAGAAAAATCTCCATATATTGGAAGATTCAAGGGTCGCTAACTGCAATGTGTGACTCTGGTTCCTGGAAGAGGAAATGGACATCAATGAGACAGCGCAGAGTCCACATTAATTCTTTCACTTCATTAGCACCATTACACTATTGCTTATGTAGTTTTCATGACCACAGCCTGGGAAGAAAGAGCATATAAAGGGCAAACAATAATGTTCTACTATGCTTATGACTTTCACGGAAGTCTCAAGTTATTTTTTAATGAAAAATTAAAAAAAAATCACATGACAAAAACATTTTATACTGAGGGAAAAAAGACATGGAAGTGATCAGATATTTTAACCTAAGAAAAAGAAATCTAAAAATGAAAGAAAGAAAGATAAAGAAAAATAAATAAAGAAAGAAAATCTAAGTGGCAAAGGAATCTATTTACACTGAGACTGATTGAGGAGCTACTTCTCTATAATTCATCTCCCCACACTAAATTCAAGAAGAATCAGGAGAGAGTCATGCAAGTCTGTTATTTCTATAGATAAGTAGTTAATTGCAGGTGATAAATTTCTGGGTGGAAACAAATGTGAAGTGCTCAAAGCTAGAGGGTAGTAAGGCAGGTCTACAGTCGGCCGAACTCAGCAAACTGTCACGTGACAACCGAGTTGCTAAGCGTCTCACCAGCTTAATTTTTTTCCTAAAACTTTTTATAAGAAATGTATAAATTCTTTGGCCAAGGTAGTCACTGTCATATATTCTCAGATTATATACATAGAGCTAAAAAAAATCATTTAAAATTTATTTAAGCTAAAAACAACATCTTTGTAATGCTATGGCATAAAATTAAAATGACTCAAGCCTGAGTTGCTTTCCCAATTCTTATGTTTTATGCTTCTCTCCCTCTCTCTCTCTCTCTCGTTGCAAAACACATGAGGATCTTTTTATTACAAATTATTACAAGCTGCAGCTTTGGCTCACACCCCGCACCACCAAAACCACCGAAGCGGTGAGAGCTGAGAGCCTCCTGCTCAGGTTATAGTTGGGTCATTTAAAGATTCTGGTCCCTCCCAGCATGCCCAAAGCAGGGGCTATTCCTGCCTAGAAAGCATCTATTGGTCGAAATGCAAAAGGGATGTTGCATTTTGAATTGACTGGCTATAGGAAGGTCCCCAAACCATTAATGATCTGGTGTCCCTCCCTAGGGGGATGGGCCAGCTGCCTAGCAACTTTATCTCTAGTGGGCAGGAAAAGAATACAATAAGACTAGTTCTTCCCCTCAGGGCATTACTGGACATGTCTCCACCCAACTAGCCTTATAGTTCAGGCCTGTTTATGCATTCTCTTTATATGTGTGAAACCTAATCTTGGTGTCAGCTTGAATACCCGTATATAATATTCCGTGTATTCTATACGGAATCCTGTGATTTTAGATTTCCTTGATTAGATCATTTGAGCTGGGAAGACTCACCCTAAATCTGGGTCACACCTCCTGCTGGCAGCCCACGTAAAAGAACATTAAAGGAGGAAGCTTTTGCTTTTTGCCCGCTTGCCCTCACTCTGGCTGGCAAGCTCACCTATCCTGTTGCGGAAACATTTCTTCACTGGTATCAGAACCTGCTTCCAACACAGCCTGAAAACCAGCAGCTTCCTCGGGCCTCCACAGGACTCCAGCAGCTGGCTGAGACTATTGAGACATCCAGTTTCTTGGACGAACAACTGCTGAATTCTAGGCCTTTCCATCTGAAGATAACCATCACTGGATTAATCAGACAACATATATGTATGTGTATATATACATATATGTGTACTTGTGTATATGTGTGTATGTGTATATGTATATAGAACTCATTCTATAAGTTCTCACCCTTTAGAAAACTCTAACACCATACATACACACAGACACACTCACCTTCAAATAATTCTAAATTAATATTGCTTGATCTTAATCACCGAAATTCAAGATCTCTTATTTATATCTGCCATATATATCCCTGACTAAGAGCATACATAAATTTTTAGAAGATTGCCAAAGAAGATATTAGCCTTCCAAATACTTACTTATGTATTTTTCTATAGTTGCTATCACATTTTGGAATTGTTCTGAAAAGTCCAGTCTGTTGGGTTGCAGAAAGAGGTTTGTTGGAAATTCAGAAAATCTGAGCAAAAACAATAAATAAGAGTATATTCAAGCGAATGCAGTGTCAAACAAAATACAGCTACTTAATGAGGAGCTGGCTCGTACTTACTTATCACCAGTGTGTTCATACACAGAATCAAGGTGGAGCCCTGAGTCTTCTACAATTCATTGAAAGAATGAGAGAGTAAAAGTTGATTAACATTTTGAAATGCTAGACAACTTAATATATATTAGTATTTTCTAAATATCCTGAGAGTCAATCATAGAGACTGGCTGAAACCAGCATTCCAACAGTGGACCCTAGACTCTGACGCTGAGAAAGAAGGTCTGGGTGGAGGAGCAGACTGTGCTCTTTTCCCTTTTGGTGAATCTGGGTGATCAATCGGGGCCTCACACCTGCCAGGCGAACCCCCTACCACCGAGTGGCACCCCCACTCAAGCGTCTGCACTTTTGGAACCATTCCAGGAGCTGCTCATCCTGACAAGGTAGAACCCAGGGGCTCCAAGGGAAACCGGTACCATCACTCACATGTGCCACCGACAGCACGTGGCTCGTGTTCTATTGTTGCTCACCTTACCGTGTAAGAACACGATACCATATAAACTAACAAGGTGTAAATGTCAAGGCTTCCCCCATCTAATTATTGCCAGCCGTGGGCACACTGCCTGTCGCCGCCCTCCCTACCTGATAGGATTTGCTTGAGGAGCATGCCAAACTGGCTGGGCTGACTGTATTTCATGAGCAGGCTGTCAGTAGAGGTTCTCTTTCTGTATTCTGACAGTTCCAGATCCTCATACACCACAGACTCATCGCGGTGCTGCTCCATGCTCTGACTGTTCTCTTCAATGTCCTCAGAAGAGGCACCGTCGCCGGGAACTCTCAAACAGAGGTTTACCTCAAATATTGGTGCGTATGTTTTCTTCAGAGTTTTCTTTACTTTACCTCTACCTAATATCTGACTTGGCAAATACGTCCACAAGACAAGAGCAAAACATTACAGACAGTTAGTGTGCGATAATAAAGTTTAAGCAGGATTATAAACTGTAACTATATCTACACGTCAAAAAGTAAATAAATAAAATGTGAAATTAATTATCAGTGGGAAATTTGGATAGGCACAATTACAGCTTTTTACAGTGGGAGAAGGTGTGTGTGTGTGCGCGTGGATGTTTGTATGTGAGTATGTGTGTATATAGCAAACAATCTAATTGAATTTTTAATTAGGAAACTTGCTATCCATCTTATATCAAAATTTGTGTTAATGTTAATGTTTTTAAGGCACATATTACCTTATTAATATCAGTGTCTAGTTTTTGTTCTGACTTTTGAATAGAAAGAGCAGTTAAGCTAGAATTAATGAGTTCTTCACTACTTGACATCATTCTAGATAGGATCTTCCTTGCTCTAGAATAAGAAATGGGAGAAAATTTTATTTTTGAAATCATATATTTTTCTATTTAATATGAAAAAATATAAAGAATTCATATAACTTAGCAATTAAGAGGAAAGAAAGGAAGAAAAGGAGAAATAGAAGGAAGGAAGGAAGAAGGAAGGAAGAAGGAAGGAAGGAAAGAAGGAAGAAAGGATGGAAAGAAAGAACAAACAAATGAATAAGTTAAAAATAGGGGCTGCCTTGTGAGGCCCGAGTGGAAGAGGATGCACTTAGCCCTGCTAGGACTTGAGGGACCTGGGTAGGTTGATACCTCTTAGGGCCTCCCCTTCTCTGAGAAAATGGAAAGGAGGGGTGGAGGGAGAGGGGTGTGAGGGTGGGACCAGGGAGGGGAGGGAAGGAGCTGGATCAGGCTGTAAAGAAATGAATAAATAAATGAAAAAAAAAAATAAAAAATGACCAGAACCCACATGAAAAGCCAGCATGACTGTAACACATCTCTATGCTCAGTGATGGCGAGAAAGGAGGGAGACTCAAACAAATCCCTGGGTGATTGAGATTCCAGGCCAATAAAAGAACTCGTGTCACATAAAAAAGTACAAGGCACCTGAGGACAAACATCCAAGGTTGCCCTCTGACCTCCACATATAGGTGCCCTGCACATGTACACCAGCACTCACACACCCCTCCACATCCACACCCAAACACACACACACAGACAAACAGGGAAAGGAGACAGCTTGACTAGACCTCTCTCCGGATTGGTACAAGTGGAAGATTATATATATATATAATAAAAGATGCTTAAAATCACAGATAATTAGGAAACCAAATCGAAATCACAAGAGATCACCTCGTACTTCCTGGACTGGACTCACGTTGATATTAGAACCCGGTACATCCCTGCTGCAGCCTAAATTGATAGATATGGCTGTGGGAACTACAGAAAAGTTCCTTAAAATGTTAAACGTGCAATTATATGATTCGGAAAATCTAAATATACACATCAAAGCCCGAAAGCAGATGTTCCAAACCAATGTGCACAGCTGCATTCTGACAGAGTCCACAGGGAGACCCCCAACAGGCCAGTGGAGAAATATAGTGTGCCACCAGCAGATAACAGCATTATTTAGCCGTGAAAGAGAATGAAATTCTGATATATGCTTCAACATGGAGGGACCTTAAAGATATTATAAGTTAAATATGTCAGTTAAAAAGAGCAGTATCTGTGATTCCAGATTTGCAGGGTACCTAGAATGAATAAATTCTTAGAAGGGGTGGGGGTAATGTGGAGTTTTCGATAATGGATGTGAAGCCTCAGTCTGGAGAAAGGTTCTGAAGGTGGACGGCAATGACTGCACAACGCTGTGAAAGTACGTAATGCCACGGACAGCACTCTTCAGATGACACCTTTCTTTCCCGTTACACATTTTCAACCTCATAATAATGCACCTTACTTCAGCAGGAAGAGAAACAGACTGGAGAACATCGAGGCACGGAGTCTGAGCTAGGGAAGCACAGGGTGTTACAGGGGAGATCCATCAGTGGGGGCTCTGTGTATCGCAGCCAGAGCTCCATTCATCCCCACGTGTGCTCGACGATAAACCACGCTCTGCTCATGGGGAAAAGGACTTGAGCTACTGCAGTCAGAAAGACTGGAAACTCTTAAACAGAAAAAAGTAATTCCAACACTTGGAAGTTGAGGAGTCTGATGGGAAATAAGAGACAAGTACTTCCTGAAATGTCTGATTCTATCTAAAGATCCTACACACACACACACACACACACACACACACACACACACACACACACCACAAACAAACAAAAACAAAAGAAAGAGATTCAAATACTGAGGATGGATGGGAGGAGGGCATGAGGAAGCAGACCCCAGACATTATTCAATATTGAAGGCCCGAGGGAATGCAGAAAATACACAGAGAGAGGCACTTTCAGGAAGCCTTGATGAATACAAAGATAAAGGTGGTGGTCCTGATGGTACATACCAACAACTTAGGGCATGGTGCAGGAGGACCACAAAAGTTTGAGACCAGGTTGGTTATACAGTGAGTTCAAATAAACCTTGTAGTACATAGTGGAAGCTTTTCTCAAAGTGAGAAAAAAATAAATAAAAATAAAAAGGAGTGACTACACAGAAAGAGATAATATTGAATACTAACAACTAATGGGATCCTCTGAGCAATAAATTCCTTTTCTCAGGAGTCTCCTCTTACAGGTCAAGAGAACCTATCACTTTTAAGTGGAAAAATGCAAAATGGTTCTGACTAAATCCCAAGCAAAGGTATTGGAAAAATAAAATATTTTAAGAGTCTCACATTTTATTATCTAGACTATATTAAGTGAAAATGTCCTCCATTGAGAAAATTTATAGCTTTAAGTGCCTACATTAAAAATAATCAGAAAGCACAAACAAATGACCTACTTAATGATTCAACTCAAAACTTTGGAAGAACACAAACAAATCAAACCCAAACCAACTAGATAGCAATAAATAATAAGAAGCAGAGCCAAATTTAATAAAAACAAAGAATCAACAAATTTAAGAGCTGATTCTTTGAGAAGATAAATGAGATTGATAGACTCTTAGCCTAACTAACCAAAACAAAGAGAGGACAGCCCAAATTAACAGAATGAGAAATAAGTATGGAAACATGACACAGACACAGAGAAAATTCAAAATATTTTAAGAGAAAAAAAATTAAAACTTATAAAAAGAAATGGACAAATTTCTGTTTAGCCAAACCATCAAAATTAGAGGAAGAAAAGATCAACAATCCAAAGAGACTTATAACAAACAAAGAGACTGAAGCAGAAAAGGGGCAAACTTCTGGCTTTTTGCTGTGTTTTTGCAGCTGTCGATCTATAATTTCCTTAATATGTAAACTTAGTGGTAATTAGCTAACTCATTTGATGGGTGATAAAGGTGGCAGTAGTAAGTCCATGCTGTTCTGTCACCAGCCCGCTACTGTCAGCTGCATGTAAAGGAGTGGGATGGCCTGTACACTAATCATGACTAAGGTAAAACTGGTTTGTGCTCAAGTGGCCATGTTTTCAAGGTATGAAACCCATTTCACATACAGTCAGTGAAAGAACTCTGCCATGGACCTTGACTTGAGGCCATATGTGGATCTTCATTGGCCAAGTGTACTAGCCATAAAGAATGATCTGCGTGTATATGTGTTGGTCCTTAAACTGAGGCCTTGCAAGATTAAGCCACCTGTGGTTTGTGGGTGCAGATGCCAAGTCAATGGAGGCAGCCATGTTATCCACAGGCTAAGAGTGTAGTGGGGGAGTGATGAAGTCCCTTGTGGTCCTACAGCACACCTTTAAAACTAGCCTCTTGGTTGGTCTGTGTCTGGTGATGACTTGTTTTACTGCCATTCTTTTTTTTTTTTTTTAATAGTTCCTAAAGCAAAACAAACAAATACAAATAGATGAACTATTTAAAAATTGCCTTGAGAAATTATGAAATTTGCAGGAAAATGGTAGGAACTGGAAAAGATCATCCTGAGTGAGGTATCCCAGAAGCAGAAAGACACAGGGTATATACTCACTCATAAGTGGATATTAGACATATAATATAGGATAAACATACTAAAATCTGTACACCTAAAGAAACTAATCAAGAAGGATGACTCTGGCTAAGATGTTCAATCCCCATTCAGAAAGGCAAAGAGGATGGACATCAGAAGAGGGAGAAAACAGGGAACAGGATAGGAGCCTGCCACAGAAGGCCTTTGAAAGGCTCTACCCTGCAGGGTATCAAAACATATGCGGAGATTCATAGCCAAACTTTGGACAGAGTGCAGGGAATCTTATGAAAGAGGGGGAAGACAGAAAGACCTGGAGGGAACAGGAACTCCACAAGGAGAGCAACAGAACCAAAAAATCTAGGCACAGGGATCTTTTCTGAGACTGATACTCCAACCAAGGACCATTCATGGAGATAACCTAGAACCCCTGCACAGATGTAACCCATGGCAGTTCAGTGTCTAAGTGGGTTCCATAGTAATGGGAACAGGGACTGTCTCTGACATGAACTGATTGGCCTGCTCTTTGATCACCTCCCCTGAGGGAGAAGCAGCCTTACCCGGACACAGAGGAAGACAATGCAGCCACTCCTGATGAGACCTGATAGACTAGGATCAGAAGGAAGGGGAGGAAGACCTCGCCTATCAGTGGACTGGAGGAGGGGAATGGGTGGAGAAGGGGAAGGGAAGGTGGGATTGGGAGGGGAGAAGGAAGGGAGCTACAGGGGGGATACAGAGTGAATAAATTGTAAATAATAAAAATTAAAATTAAAAAAAATGCCTTGAAATCTCAAAAGAGAATTCTCAAAAAAAAAAAAAAAAAAAAAAGAAAGAAAGAAAGAAAGAAAAATGGCTAAGAAATGTACCTGGCATTTACTACTTTCTGGGTTCTTCTTTCTTCCACCCTTCCCCACCTCCTTTCTTCTTCCCTTTAAACCCCTAACACTAGATATGAGAGGGAAAAAAAATGATGGTGAGTAAAGGAAAGAGGTCTCTGAATAAAGCCAGGGGTCAGAAAGGGGGTGACGTTATCATTAGACTACTTCCTGCTGATTTGGGGCATTGAGTTTCTTAGGGCAAATTTCTTCTTTGAGCATGACTACTTAAAAAGCTGTGACCAACAGCAAGCAAGGAACTCCCCTGCCCCTCCATGTCTCTCAGGGTTCTAGCATTTATAAACTCTTTGAAAAGTCCCCAGAATTCAAAATGACATACATTCACAGAAACCGTCTGGCTGGCAAAACCACACCTCTGCTAGAGCACGAGGCAAATCATAGCCAGCTGCTGTGCAGTGGCAGCACATCTCCACACCTGTCATTAAAACAAGAATATATTCTTATAATGTTTCTATTTTTTTAAAGAAACCAAAATTCCAAAATTATTACTACAAAGAAACATTTTATAAATGTTCATTGTTTCTAGCAATTAGGAAAACATAAATCAAAACAACTTTGAGATTTCATCTTACCCCAGTTAGAGTGGCAAAACTCAACAAAACAACTGGCAACAAATGCTAGAGAGGATGTGGGAGAGAGGGAACCCTCATTGACTCTCGGCAGGATTGCAAACTGGTCCAACCACTCTGGAAATCAGTGTGGAAAATTCTCAGAAACCTAAAAGTGAAGCTACCATATGATCCAGCTATACAATTCTTCAGCAAATGCCCAAAGGATTCAACATTCTACTCCACAGATACTTGCTCATCCATATTCATAGTTGTTCCATTGACAATAGCTAGGAAATGGAAACAACCTAAATAAATATACTTCAACAAATGGAATATGCAAATGTAATACATATGCCTATGGAATATTATTTAGCTGTAAAGAAAAATAAAATCATGAAATTTCATGGATGGAATAAATGATATAGTAAGTGAGTAACTTGGATCCAAATACAAACCAAATATTGCACGATCTCCTTCCTTTTTTGTTCCCAGCTCCAAGTGTTTAGATGTGTGTGTATAGCTAGAGCAACTGTGAAACCAGGAAAGCAAAGGGGGATCATGGTGTGGGAGAGGAGCAATGGAGAAGGCAATAACAAGGTAAAGGCGATTTGAAAAGTGAAATGGGGAAAATGTGGGAACTAATTAAAGAGGGGGGGGGAATAAAAACATAAGAATGAGGGTAAAATAACAATAGGGATGTCTGAAAAAAGTCATAAGGCATTATATTATTAATTATCTACCTAAAATAGTACCTATGTCTGTGTATACATATACATAGTTTAAATAAAAATTTCTATTCTTTTATGACAAGACTCCCTCTAAGATTCACAGAACATGTAACAAAAATCCCAACATTAGTCATAAGAAGTCCCCTTTTGGGTTGTTGGTTGGGGTTGTCTAAGAGACTCTTGAAACTATTAGACTGTGGTTTGCCCTTAGTTGACTCCCACAGGTAGAAGCTAAAGATAAATCCCTACTGCTGAAGACAGTGTGCATTTTGGACACAGGATGTAGTTATCACCCATCAAAGAAACTTGAAACAGACAGAGAAACAGACAAAGAAATTTAGAAACAGACAGAGACCATTACGGAAAACCATAACGAAGTAAAATTCAGAGAACAAGAAAATGTGTAGTGCCCAGACCAACTGATACATCTACAACACAATTCTGGCACCTAAGGCTCAGGGATCATTGTGGGCAAGAGAGTAGAAAAATCTTAAGAGCCAAAGGAACAGGCAATTTGCTGTCAGATTGTGTCTCCTCACAATCTATGAGAGAGATGGGCCATGCCTATGAAGTCTCATCTGGATGACTACCTAAACAAGACAGAGTGAGAACGTCAATGGACAATGTTAACATGGAAGGAGACAAGCTCTCAGGGCCTCAACCCTGGACAAAGAATCAAGGGCACTGGGGCACACTCAGATGAAGAAATGGCCTTTCCTTTGGTCTTCTCCCAATTGTTTGTGTGGTCAGCCCTGAGCTCATATACACACAGGCGACACTTCCTGAACTGAGGCTACATTTATGTGTTTAGCTACACATGAACACACCAGAAAAAAAAGTTAAAGAAGAAGCAGCCAGGAATCTGAGAGAAAGCAAGGGTGTGCATGAGAGAGCCTGAAGGGAGGAAAGAGAAGGGGGAAATGATATACTTACAAAATTTAAAAGGAAAAAAATGCAAAAACATTCCTGATGGAGTCAATGAAATTCCTATAAAAATTTCAGGGTTTTTTTTTTTTTTTTTTTTTTCAGAAACTGGCAAGTTCATATACATTGGTCAAAACAATGTTGAGAAAAGAAAAGAGCAAGGTTGGAAGAGTAATGATTTCCCAATACAAAGCAGACTCATCAGGACAGTACGATACTGACATAAAGATAGACATCCAGAGAAGTTGAGAAACAAATTCACATGCTTATGGTTAGCTAGACTGTCAACTGCCAAAAGAATCCAAGAAAGAAACAAATATTTTTCTTTTTAGCAATAATCTTGGGACAATTGGATGATCATATATTGATGATCTTATACCCCTGTCATACTACATATAAAGTTAATTTGCAATCTATGAAAAAATTTGGCTCAAAAGCTAAAGTTACAAATGGTTGACCTTCGATTAGGCAATGCTTTCTGATTTATACCTAAGGCACAATCAAAGGGGGAAATCCAAGTAGATTTCACACTAATTAATGTTCTTCCATCTTCCCCTCGTTTCCCTTCTTTCCTCCTACCTTGCCTCTTCTTTTTCTCTTTCTCCTGGGGTCTCACTCCCTGCAGGCTAGCCTGAAATTCACTCTGCAGCCTTGGCTGGCTTTGACAGCTATCCTCCTGTAATAGCCTTTGGAGTGCTGAGAGTTCAGGTATGTATCACCATATCCCAATTAAAATGGAAAACTCTTGTGCTCTAAAGAATACCATGAAGAGCCGGACACGGTGGTGAAAGCCTGTAATCCCAGCACTCAGGGAGGCAAAGGCAGGCGAATCTCTTTGGGTCTGAGGCCAGCCTGGTCTACAAAAGGAGTCCAGGACAGCCAAGGCTAAACAGAGAAATCCTGTCTCAAAAAAACAAAATAAAACAAAACAAAAATAAAAAGAATACCATGAAGAAAATGAAAAGATGATGCCTGGAATCCAAAATACGTATGTAGAACTCTTACAGCCCAGTAGTAGAAGGCAGATGACCTGCTTTTAAGAGGGCCTCTGAAAGCCTCTGCCCTGCAGACAATCAGAGCAGACGCTGAGACTTACGGCCAACTGTTAGGCAGAGTGCATGAAATCTTATATAAGAAGTGGGAAATAGTAAGAGCTGGAGAGGACGGGAACCACACAAAGAGAGCAACAGAACCAGAAAACTTGAACACAGGGAACTTCCCAGAGACTCATACTCCAACCAAGGACTATTCATGGAGATAACCTTGAACCTCTGCAGAGATGTAGCACATGATAGTTCAGTGTCCAAGTGGGTTACATAGTAATGGGAAGAGGGACTGCCTCTGATATAATCTGATTGGCCTGCTCTTTGATCACCTCCTCCTGAGGGGGGAGCAGCCTTACCAGGCCACAGAAGATGACAATACAGCCCCTCCTGAGGTGATCTGATAGACTAAGATCAGAAGGAAGGAGAAGAGGACCTCCCCTATCAGTAGACTTGGGGAGGGGCATGCATGAGGAAGGGGCAGAGAGGGTGGGATCGGGAGGGGAGGAGGGAGGGGCTTATGGGGGGATACAAAGTGAATAAAGTGTAATTAATAGTAAAAAAAAAAGTTAGAAACCAAAAAAAATAAAAACCAAAAAAAAAATAATAATAAAATAAAAAAATAAATAAAATAAAAAGTGAAAGGTAAATTTGAACATATCTCTCCCCAAGGGAAACAAATAGCCAACAAGCACATGAAACAATGTTCAACATCATTAGTGATTTCAGAAATAGAAATCGATATTGTTAAAACGCAGACAAATACAGATTCAATGATGGTAGGTACCATGTCCCCGGCACTTATTCTATGTTTATTCTCAATATGGTGATATAGGCACTGTTACTATCTCCACCTTATATGTACAGAAATTAAAGAATGTGTTTGAACCTTGTTAGGCCAACCCGCATGACTGAAGACAGACACATTAGACCCTATTAGTCTGATCCACAAAGGTAGACTCACCTGAGCTGGAGCCTACCCATCCCTCTCAGACCATGTGCTTTGAGCACAATACACTAAAATTATAACAACGAGAAACTCTGTAGGAATGTCTGTGGAAATAACAGGGTAAGGCATGGATGTAAGCAATAAAAAGGAGCTGGGCGTGGCGGCACACGCCTTTAATCCCAGCACTCAGGGAGGCAGAGGCAAGTGGTCACTGTGAGTTTGAGGTCAGCCTGATCTACAGAGCAAGTCCAGAATAGCCAAGGCTACACAGGGAAACCCTATCTTAAAAAACCTAAATGAGTAAATAAGATGATTTTTTTTCATTTTTATTCTTTTACAAGATGACTTAGCCTTAGCAATTTCTCTCTTTAATGAAAACTATGTTTACTATACCGACATAGGGTGGGGGCGGGGACAGGGGGCGGGGACAGAAGGAGATAGAGAAGAAAAGGGAGGGAAGAGAAGGAGGAGATGGAGTGAGAGAGAAATTCAGACAAGAATTATAACATTGTCCCTAAGCAGCTTTTTCTTAAGTCCTGCTGCTGACTAAAACCAGTTATTAGACTTTTGGATTTGATATTAAGCAAAGAAGCAAAACAGGCTCCTGTCATTCACTGTCTTCAAAATTTCATAAATTGATATTGTCAGTTTTCTAGTCAGGATCATGAAAACTTTGCTAGATTTTGATAGTTCAGGCATAATTTCATTTTATATTCCTTGTTTCACAACTTAATCATCAACAGAGCTTTGTTTTGAATAGCACATCAAAACACTTTCCAACTGCTTTTTTAGCTGGAGAAAACATTTAGTAGATACTTCTTGGAATTGCTTCAAATCCCAATAAAACTGTGGCCCTTCCAGAACTGGTCTTACATCTCTTAAAAGATACCATAAACCTGCACCGTCAGATTAACAAACAGAAATTTGAATTTCAGATCGGCACCAAATAAAATTTAATAGAGGTACGTGGGACATACTTATATGCAAAGATTGTTTTTTGTTTTATCTGCAATTCAAATCTCATTGAGCATTTTGCATTTTATACAGGAACACGATCTACTCAGGATTCAAAGAAAAAATAGGGACTTTTCTTCAATTCATGGACATTTTAAGTTATTACTGATAATAAGAATTGCAGAGTCTAAATTATCTGTTACAGGGAAGATTTTCAAAACCTAACTTTAATTCTTGGATGTTTTCTCCATAAATAGTAATATATCACAACATATAACTTCCCTTTATTAGTAAGAAAGGGACTAATTACTTACTTCATGAGACCCTCATTTAACTTTTCCTTTGAAAATGGCATCCCAGAAGAACCAATGAAGTATTCCAAAAGTTGGTTGACTGCAGAGTTCATGAGCTGGCGAATGAGCTCTTGAAACAGGTAGTCGATCAGCCGTAAAAACTTGAAATTGGTTTCTAATAAACACCGATACTGGGGCAGCTTGAAATGCATTGTGTCAACATCACATGGGTCTTCCTCAAAGTATTCTTTAACATCTTTTTTTTCTGCAACCTATAATTCATAAAGCAGTTGGGAAGCATGGCATTTCCCTATGTTAACACAGGTGGTCTGTGGTCTATAGTACTGTAATTAGCCTGGATAGTATAGAAAAACTAAATTTTATCATCAACTTGTATTTTACCTCCTATTTACACTGTTTTTAAACACCTGACAAGAAGGATCTTTATGTGTTCTGAAGCCAATGGAGTTCAGAATCTCAGAAGCAGACCAGCTTGGGAGTCAGACAGGAATGCAGGTGGAGTGGAACGGCTCCATGTGCTGACGCAGAGGGAGCGTTGGCCACACAGGGTAAGAATGCTCTGCAAACCCGGTTCACTGCATTAGTGAGTTCCCTTTAAGAAATCCTCCCTGAAGCTCCATTGCATCTACAAGTTTCTCCTGAGCTCTTTATCTTATGCACACTAAGAACTTTGTAACTAATCAGGTTCCCTTTATATGTCAGCTCAGGCTATTTAGGAAGCACTTTGAAGTTAGAGATATTTATAACCCATGCACTCGTAGGTATAATCTACAAATTTGTACATACACGTTTCTTTGCATGCTGCATCATGCCTAGAAAAATTTACAGTAAATAGAATACCAGTTGGTTGGTTAATTAACCACTTTTGACTTGCTACTGTCCATTTACAGTATTTTTTTTTTCAGGAATACAATTTGGAATAATCTCTCAGTACATTCCAACAAGACAGGCAAACTTTCAGAGTTACCTTCAAGAGTGTACTCTTTATCTTTGCAATTGCTTTGCTCTTGATCTCCTCAAGTTGTGCCACTGCGTGGGCGGCTTGCTGTAACTGCTCTTCACAAAATGCTTCCAGAGTGTATGTTCGGCAAGTGTCCAGCTAATTAAATGGCAGTAAATGTTGCTTGTTTGAAAATGGAGTAACACACACACACAAAGTTAGAATTAAATAACTGCAATACATTGTTGGGAATCTCACAGGGAGAAATTTCCAGCAACTACATGGTTAATTTTGTTGGTAAACACGGAAGTATGCTGTCAGTCGTCCTTCTTTCGATATTTTTTTCTATGGTGTGTTAATTCTCTTGCCACATGTTTCATCAATAAATATGCCGGCCTCTTTATCCCTAGGTGCCATAAACGTCTCACATAAGGAGGACTGTGATCAGCTTTACTGTTTTGGACTGACTCATTTTCTCTTTCTCTTTGTCCCTTGTCTGATTATCAGAATCTAAATTTTCAAATAAAATGCCTCAAAAATCTCCCTTTATTTCTTGTTTCACAAACCAGGAATGTCCTCAAACTAATACAGTCGGAGACTCTCAGTCATCACGACAGTCATAACTTTGCCGGCCCCCAAGTCACCGGAGACACTAGCTGACAATGCTGCCCATCTGCCCTCCTGCTGCGCTCTACCCGACTTCTCTACCCATCATCCAAAGTGCCTTTCGAGAAACCCAGACTCCATCTTCAACATGAGACAATCTGAAGTCTCTGCCTTATTCTGTGAACACAGACAAACCATGATCTCTTTCAGTTATGTCATTTGACAGTGGAGTGTTGGAAGGTTCTTGGTGCTCCGAGAAAGCTCATGTAGAGCCAGGAGTCTCCAGGGAGCCCTAACATCTTTTCTCTGCCCTTGTTAGCATTGCAACCCGCTGGTGTCTCAGGGAGATTTCCCAGACAGCTGAGCTTTCCTAGTCATTATTTTTTTTCTCTTTTCCTTTTCTTTTCTTCCCTTCCCCTTCTCCCCTCTCCTCCCATTCCCTTTCTGCTCTTCCTCCTTTTCTTTCCGGTCCCTTCCCTTCCCTTCTCTCTCCTTCTTCCTCCTCTTTCACCCCTTCCTCCTCCTCCTTCTTCTGTGTTTTGTTTCTTTTCTGAAACAGGTCTCACTGCATGGCTTTGCCTGGCCTTGAACTCACAGAGGCCTGTCTGCCTCTGCCTCCCAAGTGCTGGTATTAAAGGTGTACGCCACTGCACCTGCCCCCATTCATCATTTTAAAATTTTGTCATTTAGCTTATTCATGAGCTAACTTAAAACGGACATTTCTTTCTATGCAAAAACCACACAGAGAGGTTTCTCCTTAGACTGTCTCCTAGTTATATTTAATTCGATACTTTTGAAATAAGAACTCAGCCAGGCATGGTGGCACAGATTCTTAATCTTAGCATTGGAAAAGCTATGGCAGGAGGATTATAAACTAGAGGCCAGTCTGGGACCCACAGCAAGTTCTAAGTCGACTGATGTACACAGAGAGAGCCTAACTCATAAAACTAAGAGAGAAAAAAAGACAGAAATGATAATATTAACATTCTCAATGTAGATATATAAAATATAGCTGGGTAGTGGTGGAGGCAGAGGCAGGCAGATCTCCGAATTCAAGGCCAGCCTGGTCTTCAGAATTCCAGGATAGCCAGGGCTACACTGAGAAACCATGTCTTGAAAAAAACATAACCATAACCAAAACCAAAACCCCAAAAGACAAAATATGTAGTGATTATCAATATGTGTAGTGATTAATTCATCTTCTTGAATTCTTTCATTTGCTCTGAGTATCAAATGATTACTACATAACATAGATTGTAAACTTACGTTGATTTAAGTATTATGTTGGGTATTGATCTTATGACATATATATATTCAACATAAAAACATTTTTGAGATTATCAAATTCAAAACTTGTCCAATCCCTTTACCATTTCTCTTTCCAAATATAGAGGACTATTTTACCTTCTAGTATCTCCCTACATACTGGGATAGTCAAAATCTGATAGAATCCTGTTTAACTCTATACAAAGCACGTAAGACTTACAGTTCTACGTGTTTAATCTTTTTTTTTTTTTTTTACACTTACTATAATCTAATTAAATCGGGCCACTAGTAAGCTCATCTTTCCTAAATCCTGAAACAGGAAAGTTCACTCGTCAAACCAAGACTGCTACATTCCATCTTGTGGTGAATTCTTGATATGGAATACCCAGGTGTAAGAAGCCACTAACTTCTCTGTGTTTAAAATTATTAATTACAAATCATTTTACACTTTAGAGTGACATTTGGCAATAAAGGACTTGAGTCACTTTTGTTAAAATGTTGGTCAGACTAACCTGAGACCCACCCCATGGCAGAGAGCCAATCCCTGACACTATTAACAATACTCTGCTGTGCTTGCAGACAGGAGCCTAGCATAACTGTCCTCTGAGAGGCTCCACCTAGCAGCGGATTAAAACAGATGCTAAGACTTGCAACCAGACATTAGGTGGAGTTTGGGGAGTCTTGTGGAAAAGTGGAAAGAGGGGAGGATAAAAGGATCCAGAGGGTATAGGAGCGCTACAAGAAGACCAACAGAGTCAACTAACCTAGGCCCAGGGGGTCTTACAGAGACTGAAGCACCAACCAAGGACCAGGCATGGACTGGACCCCTACATACATGTAACCAGTGGACAGCTGGTCTTCATGTGGGTCTCCTAGCAAGTGGAGTGGGACTGTCTCTGACATGGACTCTTGCCTGCTTTCCCATCACTTCCCTGTAGCAAGGCTGCCTTGCCTGGAAGAGGGTGCTCCCAGTCCTAAAGTGACTTGATGTGCTGGGGTGGGCTGATGGGGGAGCGGGGAGAGACTCCCCTTTTCTGAGATGGAGGAAAAGATGAAAAGGGTGTGAGTGGGACCAGGAGGAGAGGAGGGAGGGGTCTGTATTCAGGATGTAAAGTGAATAAATAAATAAACTTTAAAAAAAATATTGGCCAGAATTTCTAAGAAATTTTAACCCCTACTATTACCTGCTATGTTTGCTCTGTTTTTACCATGGCTTTATCACACCATCCACAGTGATTTACTTATGGACCTGGAAACTCCCCTCCATCATCTCCCCGGGCTCTACAATGGGTCTACAGTGACTGCTTCTCCTCACCTTGATAAGGAATATGGCTGACGGATTGTTTTGGTGGTTGTTCTTGAGACTCACGGCATCTTCAAAGAGTCCTTTTACATAAAGCAAACAGCTTTGAGATAATTCATCAGCACAAAAAAGGTGGCTGTACAAGTACGATCTGAAAGACAAAAGTTTCCACAGACTCAGCTCTCATTCCAAATGAATAAACAAGTGATATTATGCCACTGAGTCCTAGGAATTGTGATGTATCAGGCAGTGTTATGAAAAATTAATTATACGTATCATCAACTAATTTTTACTAAAAAATAAAATATTTTGTGTTTTTTTTAAATGTGCATTGGTATTTTGCCTGCATGTATATCTATATTAGGCTGTTATATCCCCTGGAACTGGAGTTACAGACATTGGTGAGCTGCCATGTGGGTCCTGGGAATTGAACTTGGCTCAAATCCAAGTAATTTTCTCCAAGTAACAAGGGAATGTTCACTGAATGAGGAACAACTTGGAGAATAATTCTTAAAAACTCCTAACTGTCTATTCTAAAGTAAAGAGGGGCTTTTTTCTTTCTGACCCTTTCTTTCTATGTATCATGAAGATAAACCACTACCAACAACGTTGGAAATGAAAACAACAGAATGGAAGCAGAATGGACAAAAGAGGGCTCCCTAAAACCTGGGTCGGTCGGAGCAAAGCTTGCTTGTGTGGAGAAGGGGCCCTTCTGCCCTCCATAATCCTCCCTCGTGTGACAGCACAGAGAAACACCTCACTGAAGGGGTATGCAGATGGCCAGTAAGTACAGGAAGAGACAGCCAACATTAGAGGCATGCCAACTGGAGTCATGACACTCAGAACATACAAATCAACACCCATGCACAGATGTTACCTCACACCCGTCAGAATGTCTGAACTAGAAGCCAGGGATGACACCAGTGATATCGAGGATGTAAAGAAATTGGGTTGATGGTGGGAATGACAGAACAGCTGCTCTGGAAATTAGTCTGTCAACTCCTTCAAAGACTAAATACAGCTTGGCAGGGCTGAGCCTGCCTACAACCCCAGTGCAGGGGAGGCTGAGGCAGGCCCATGTAAATTCTAGGCCACCCTGGAACATACAAACAAATCAACAAACAGTAAAACCTCTCAAACATCCAATGACCATATGACTCAGACTTCGGCATCTGCCCCAGAGAAATGGAAAGTGAAGCATACACTAATGTTCACGGCAGCTTTCTATGACGGCAAAAACTCTAGAAAATATGCAAGCGTGCATTAATAGAGAAATGGTACACCTGAATCAAAGACCACCACTGGGCAGTAGCCAAACAACTACTGATATATGTGCAGCTGAGATGGATCTCCAGGACAGTTCACTGAGTGAAAGAGTCACTTTTCTACACAACGTTTGCTTTTTTGGAAACCACTTTACTACAGTATGATGGACAGGGAAAAGGCTGATATAATATATATGTGCATACATATACATACATACATACATATATACATACATACATATGTACACACACACATATATAATTTGACCATCTGGAGCCATGTGTACAGCTGTGAATCCTTACACAATCCATGTCATGAGCTGTGAACTTGCCTCTCATTTCTATTACTCTTTCAGTGCTTACCACAGCGTAAGGAGAGGCAGTAGGAAACGAAGCAAGGACAATCACAAAGGCAAACATGACAGATGCCGTGGTGACACTAACATTCCACATATTAATTAATGTTAACATTCTAGCAGTCATAACGTCCCATACTATTGTGAACTTGGGAACCTGGGGTTGGTAGGTAAAAGGCAGAGGATTTCTCTGTATTGTTTCTTACAAATGAATTTCAAGTAACAATTATAGCAAAATAAAATCTTTACTAACGACAAAAAAGACTTTTGGCTGCTTGAAATCACACAAAATAGGCTCAAAACAAAAACAAACAAACAAACAAACAAAGATAACAGGACCAGAGGAACTCAGCAGGGTCTCACAGCAGTGTGGGCACGGGATGCCATCCTGTGACCTACAGGAAGAACCTAACTATCTCCCAAAGAACACGGACGGCTCAAACTCAAGCTGCGCACCAGTGGACACAGCACTTGCCCAGCATGCACAGGGCTCAGCATTCTGCCTGTAGCACCAAGAAAAAGAGAAAGACAGCCATGGAGAGAGAAAAAGAGAAAGAGAGGTAAAATGTATTCAGAAGATCAGTATAATGTGACTTCCCGGCCTGGATTAAAATTAAAATTAAATTCAGGTGTATCCATTTCTTACTACATCTGAAAGCATTTGCTTTCGGAATTTGTGAGCATTGCACAGCAAGATTTACCTGCTCTTTTCAGTCTTAAGTCTTTTAACATTCAATTTCCAAGTAACAAAAGCTTTGTTTATCCTGAAAAGAAAAAAAATACTTCTTATATCCTATATCTGCAAGTCATATGATTACATCGATCAAGTTTATTAAGAGCTAAATAATGTTAGAAAATTTGTTAGACTACATTTTTTTTCTTGCGCTACAAAAATAAATGCTAAGCCATGTAAATTTTCTCCAAAACCATCAACAAAATAAGAAGCAAAGGGCAAATGCAAGTGAAAGTCATTACATTTCTTATAGATGTGGAATTCACTTGGCTGCAACATTCAATAAATATTAAAAACTATGAAATGTTTTTATACATTAATTATCTTGTGGTATGAGAAAAGGGATACAACAAGGAAGTGGAGAGGTCAAAGGAAAGGAAGAGGCAGGAGGAACAAATAACACTAAGAAGTCCTATTTCCATTTACTTAAAATTATAACAATAATTGAAGCATATGTAGATCTATTTTTCTCTATATGTAGATTAATAGATATCAATAGACATAGCATAAACTATGAAGTTTATTTTATACATTAATTAGCTTGTGAGATGAAGCAGAAATGGGAAAAAATGGACAGGGAAGATCTAACTAGGGAAGGGTTGGCTTATAGATATACCTATCGTCTGAAACGATCTTATTTATCTAGTCATCACCTCTACTGGCCCCATTCATGCCTAAGTCCCACAGAGCAGACACATGCATATCTTTTCACGGCAAATAAGTAAGCAACATGTCTGTGACTAAGTCTTGTGCGCGTCTCTTGTCTAAACGCCCCTCGGACCTTTAATAAAGCTATCACGTAACATTTAAGGATTTAAAATATCACTCAGCTCCGATTGGGGCGCAGCTCTGTGTAAGAGCACAGGGGTAGCTAGGTGCTAGGTTTGATGCGTATATTCTAATATTTTTAACTTTTACATTTAACATATTACATATTTCTATGTTTTATTGTTTATGTAAAAATGTACAATTTAGACTTCTTGTCTTCAACAAATACAGACAACAAGGAAAAGCAAACATCGAAGAGCACATTAAAACTGGGGCCACAGAAACTCCGAAAGAGCAACAGTGCGGATCCAGTTGCAGTGAGATGAAAGTGACGAATTTCACAGCCGCCGACTCGGTAGCCTGCCCCAAGGCCTGTACTCTGAACGCTTTTCCTGCATAACATTTTCCGCCCCCCTGACATCCCGCACGTTCACATGTCTGTGCATCGTCTCTCACACGCCTTACACAGACATTTTAAAGAGCAGGCTAATTGGTTTGTTCAATAGAGTAACCCAGCATCTAGAGCAATTCTCGGCTCTTTTCAGATATTCAATGGATAGTCATTAACAAGGAAGGCACGAAGAAAAAAAGTCATTAGCAATTATTCCCTTACATTTGCCAATAAAGCATCATTTTTGGGTAACATTTATCCAGAAAAGACTAAAGTTAGACATTTTTGTTTTTAACTGGTTAAAGTGCCTTAGCCTAAAATACATTTGTGGAACGCCCCATCCCACTACAATGGCCCAGAGCAGTGGCATTCTACTGGAGTTAGATACCATGGGGCAATTGCTCTTACAACACAACCAAACTACCAAGTGTTAGCTTCTTTTGCATCCATCTCACCGGAAGTTGGAAAAGATCTTAAATTCCTGCAGCAGATAGAAGCAATGTCTTTCTGAAAGCCAGTCCAGAGTAGGCATAAGTTCCACTTCTTCCACGTTGGGGTCTACTTTAGTGACCTATAATTACAAAGCACAAAATGTGACTTAACATCTAGTTTCAAGATGCTGAAAAGGCCCTTACTTACCTTTTAGCCCCCACCCCTCAACCACTTCATCTGGACCCGAATCTGACTTTCCTTCTGCACACTGCCGCTATACTTGGTATTTTTCTCCAGCTAGCTTTCTTGTGCTCCTTCAGAAAGAATAAGGAAAACGTCCTCTCTATCCAGAGATATTTTTACAAATAACTTGACAAGTTTTCTGCCTCACAATTTTCATGTTTTGCATAAGTTGTTAGGACGTGACTGAGGATGCAACTCAGTGCCAGGATACCTGCCTATGCACACAGAGCCTCGGGTTTGAGGTCCTCTTTGGGCAAATTGTCGAGTTGATTCTGGTCAAGACAGTTGGGAGAGCAGAAGAAAACACATGGCTATTGAACAAACGATCACCGTTGGCTAATTATAACTTAGGGTATTCATAGTGATAAGTATATTAATGGAAGGATTGTTAGATCTGGCCATGTTTCTGACAGATACACCTCAAATAAAAGTATTCTTCATTGAGCTTCAAACATTGCTTCACCGGAAAAGTGCCTGTTACAGGAGCATGAGGACGTGAGTTCAACCTCCAAAACCCACATAAAAAGCTGGATGCATTGGTAGGGACTGGGGAGCTGGAGACGGGTGGACCTAGGGCTTCCAGGCCAGCCAGCTTACTTATTTGGTGAGCTCCAGGGCAGGAAAAAGGTTGTCCTCTGCTCTAAACACACACACACACACACACACACACTCATGCTTGCACGCACGCACACGCACAGACACACATACACTTTCTCTCTTAAAATAATAATGATCATTATTTTGTTTTTGTTTTTTCGACACAGAAACCGGTTTCTCTGTGTAGCCCTGGATGTCCTAGACTCACTTTGTAGACCAGGCTGGCTTCGAACTCACAGGGATCTGCCTGTCTCTGCCTCCCTGAGGGCTGGGATCACAGGTGTATGCCACCAGACCCGGCACTAATAAATATCGTTTATCATTCCTATTATACCAACAAATTCCTGTTTTCTAGTTTTTACTTTTAAAATTATGTAAAATATTAATAAAGTATTTAACAAATGAAAAACTTCCAATTGAATTCTTTAATTTTTTAATTAATTACTATTTATTCACTTTGTATACCAGCTGTAGCCCCCTCCCTCTTGTCCCCCCCAATGCCACCCTCCCTCCCTCCCTCATTTCCTCCCATGCCCCTCCCCAAGTCCACTGATAGGGGAGGTCCTCCTCTCCTTCCTTCTGATCCTAGTCTATCAGGTCTCATCAGGACTGGCTGTACTGTCTTCCCCTGTGGCCTAGCAAGGCTGCTCCCTCCTCAGGGGGAGATGATCAAAGAGCCAGCCACTGAATTTATGTCAGAGACAGTCCCTGTTCCCATGACTAGGGAACCCACTTGTACACTTAGCTGCCAGGGGCTACGCCTGTGCAGGGGTTCTAGATTATCACCATGAATGGTCCTTGGTTGGAGTATCAGTCTCAGAAAAGACCCCTGTGTCTAGATTTTTTTTCTCTCTCCTTATAGATTGCTGGTGGGGATATAAACTTGTACAACCACTCTGGAAATCAATCTGGCGCTTTCTCAGGCAATTAGGAACAGTGCTACCTCAAGATCCAGCTATACCACTCCTAGGCATATATCCAAAAAATGCTCAAGTATACAACAAGGACATTTGTTCAACCATGTTCGGAGCAGCTTTATTTGTAATAGCCAATTGCATTCTTAAACCTAAATTTTTACCAAAAGAAGAAAATTTATTATTAAATAATTTTCTCTCAAGCTATTTCTTAAACATTAATTTCCTAAACTGACTGAGTTCCTCTAAACCACAGAGATATATCATATTGTTTCCTATTTACCCAAAATTAGATAAATTACATACAACTGAACGTATATACATACATATAGAATTTTATGCCACTTGGGCTGACAATGCTCCCTCCGAAAGACATAGACCATCAGACATTAGGCATGAGAAACCTTTTGAGTTGTTGCTCAGAGGAGTCCAAGAGACTCCCAAAACGTTATAGGCTATTGCTATTGTTCTTGGTTGCCTCCCAAAGGCTGAACACACAGGATTCAGAAGCTTCCAGCTGGATCTGACCTGAAAGCCTCCTCCCTGAGGACTGGCTTTCACCACGCTAGAAGTTGCTACGCAAGCTGTTAGGGGAGAAAAGCAATCAACAGTCCTACTCAGCTGCGGTGCCTCTGCCAACAGTGACCAGCACGCCACAGTATCCCAAAAGGGGAAGCAGTGGCAATTCACACCTTAGTGACGACCAACAGTGCTCTGCTTAGACTTAAGGCTTGTTTTATCCTTTTATCCAGAGGTAAGTGCAGCTCTCACAGGACGTGCAGCAGGTGGAGACCCTTACAGAAAACCACGACTGCTCACATGCAGAGACTGAGAGATCGTGGATACAGCTACAACACAACTCTAGCACCTAACCTAAGGCTCGGGGTCATGGTGGAAGAGAGAAACATTGTAAGAGCCAGAAGACCGGGAAACCTGCTGAGAGAGTATGAGTTCTAGGAATGACAGAGAAGTTCTAGCAACACTACATGGCTGTAGTGTTGCTACAGCCATGCAACACTATGGCTGCCGAAACTAGACCTGAACAAGACAACACCAACTGACAAACCAGCATGGAAGGGGGAGTTCTCATCAGCCCCTACCCCTAGACAAAGACCTTCAGGCACCTGCACCTAACAACTGCCCAGTGAGGGACAATTATAGATTAAAAAAAGAAGTCGTCGTCGTCATGAATTTGAAAAGTATGTGAGGGGAACATGGGGGAGCTGGAGGGATGAAGGGCTTGGAGGGGCAGAGGGGGAAATGATATCATTATATTTTAATTATAAATAAGTAAAAAAATGCTACATTAAAAAAACCCTCTAAATTGGTTACTTTTGTTTTCCCTTTTTTTTTTTTTTTAGGTCAGGTTCTCTATGTATACCCAGGGCTGGCCTCAGGCTCACAACCCCCCCCCACACACACACACACTCTGTCTCTGCACTGCTAGGATCACAGATGTGCACAGATGTACACTTGGCTTAAATTGGTAATGCTTTCTGATGTAATTCATAATGCAGAGCATATGTATTTTACAGTACCTTTGAGACATATGAAGCGCTAACCATCCAAAATTCTTTGCAATTTTTAGCTCTGTAGGCAGAGACTGCTTGAAGATCATACTCATTGAAAATGCCTTTGCTGTTCTCCAGAGGAAGGCAGTATACGAACTCACCATCATCTTTCAGAGGTTCCTCAGAAAAAGAAGAAACTTACTTTAACAAAAATTAATTAATTAAATGACTAAACAGGTCCAGGGGAAACAATGTTGCGATAGAATTAAAATAGGAATAGTATCAGTGAGGAAAATCAATCTCAAATCATGTCTAATTCAAGTTCAGTAAGGCCAGTCTTAGGAGAGGGTTAAGATGTTTCATTTTCATCCTTAAACATAACATAAGCCACTTAAGAATATTGATTTACATCCTTACTATGAACTCAACGATAGCCCTTGAACAAGCATGCCACCTTCCATGCTGGGCACAGCAAGCTTGTCATTTCACTAATACTGACGGGGGCTGGAGTTCTGAGAGCTGTAGGTAGCATTGCTAAGTCGGTCACACACAACGAGCAGGTAAGTGCCTTACACACACCATCTGAACAGTGACGCCTCTGGCAACTTTAAAGAGGCTGGCTTGGCGCTTTTAAATATAAGTAAGCAGATGCAGGCATTAATATTAAGTAGATCACCTAACTTGAGAAAGGTCATAGACTCATGAGCTAACAAAGTAGGAACTGGAACCCACCCGTGATTTTAAATTTACTCTACGCGTCTATAGTAAGTAATAAAGTTTCTGTCTCATTCCCTTGGTAGTATTGGGAAACTGGCTACTGTCCATTGATAAAATGTAAGTTGTTTTGTTTTGTTTGCTTCTTGGCCAAAAAGTTTGTCTTTGTGGGAAAAAAAAAAAAAGTCTTCATAGAAAACTGCTTTAGCTCTGAGCTCTTCCTGAGCTCTGCAGAAGCTTGCTTTCTTTTGAGTAACCCGATCTTTCTTCTGGGCAAGGAACCTTTTGGGACGGTCCCACTTCCTCTTCTTCACTTCTCTCTTGGGCTTCTTCTCATAGACTGGGTTCTCTTAGACAGCAGTGTGGGCCTTCTTGCACCCCTCCTCCATGTCTGGAGTGAGGGCGTTCTTTATGTACTGGGAGAACTGTTTTTATAGGCATCTTCATCTGCCTCCATTAGGTAGCACATGTCGTCTGCAACATTCTGACCCACGATGTGCTTCCGATGCACTTCTGCGTTGAACTCCTTGCTTTCAGAGTCATAACCAGGGAATCGTTTGGTACTATGTGGGATAGACAAGACTCCATCTGCAGCTCCCTTCAGGGCCCCAAAAACTTTATTGCCAGTTGTAGTTCGAGTGAGGCCTGCATCCAAATAGCAAGTGAAGGCACCGGCTGACCGTCAATGCTCTCCACATAGTGCTCTTCTCCAATCACCTCCACCTGACCTTGTCCATGGCGAACCTGTTGAGAAGCCTGCGGGCCAGAAGCAGCCCAGTGCAATACGCTGCAGCGTAAATGGTCCCTCCATACTTTGGCAGTTCGTGTGCATATGCTGCGCAGAAAATCTAAGTTCTAAAGCTATTTTCTTTTAGTTTTGAAACATGCACTTTTAGCAACAAAAGTTTTCAAAATTCATACAAAACTGAATTTAATCATTTAAGAGTAATTTTACCAAAAGCATAATTTAGTAATTCCTGGTATTCTTAGAAAGTAGAGTTAAACTGTTTCCAGTTACTGTGGTTTTTAGCTTTTATAACTTTTAAAGTTTTATAATCTTTCATTTTTCTTTCTTGAAGAGCGTTTTCATTTTTGTAGCTATTTGCTTTCTTATTTTGGCTCTGATTACAACCTGTACTAGGAAACCTTTAAAAATAAGCTTACATCCTGAAAATAAGAAGAAATGAGGTAACTGAGTGAGGAGACAAAATGATAAGCTTTATTGTAGATGTTTGGTCAAGTGTGCCATTTTTGTTCTAATTCTATTTTCTAAGGTTAGGAGAAACTTGGTGTAAATACAATTCTCAAGTCTTTTTGCATACAAATTAAGTATAATTACTCACAGATCCAAAGCACCCGTGCCCAGCTTGAGTTTCATTTTGTACCTGAAAACACAGTGTCTACAATCTACCTGATTCTATAGCACATTCTTTTTTCCATTTAATCTTCACAGCTTTCTAGAGTAATTCCCATTATCTCAGTTTCAAGGTCAAAGAAACTGTAAAGCTCAGAGAGGAGAAAAGTTTGCTCAAGACAACATAGTGAATGTAGAGATTCAAAGCTATGTGAATCTGATTTATGAATGGACTTCTAGTCACCTGGCACTTTCTATGAACAATGATCCAAAGACCTTTTGTCCTTAGAGCAACCACCTAGAGCAAGGATTGGCCAGGCCTCTTTTGCATGAATAAAGTTTTATTGGCATACAGTCATATCCATTTGTTGGGTACTGTGTACAGATGGTTTAGTGCCACAGTGACAGGGTGAGTGGTTCCTTGCCACAGAGAGCTTATGACCTGTAAAAACTACAATGCTTGTTATATGTCCCTTTGAAGGAAAAAAACAAAAACAAAAACCTCTCTTTTAAAAACAAGATCTCAGTCATTAAATTTTACCAATGAAGACTCTGGAGCCAGATGCTGGGGTGAAACTTGCTATCTCAGAGAGGCAGAGAAAGCACCCAGCTGACCGTCCTACTAAGCCAACATTCCAGAAGGAAAAAGCCCCTTTTCCTTTTCCACACTGTCTTAGATACCCTTCCCTCAAAGTCCCTTCTGTTTAATCCCTGTCAGCACAAGTGTTACTCCACCTCTTTCCTAAGGTTAGCTTTATTTAATCCTGTTTATAGAAAGCTCTTGGGTTAAAGGTGTGTGCTAGGGCTGAGCCACACCACAACTACTTGTTTACAGTAAACAGAAAGCTCTAGGATCAAAGAATGAGCCATACCACAATCAGAAATAGGTTTTTACAGTTCACAATCTCAGGGTTCACAATGAGATCAAATATCCTGCAACAAAAAACCCGAGCCCAGGGTTTGGAGCAATGGTTCTTAATTAGGTAGCAGTTTACTGAGAAAACAGACAAGTAGTCCCACTTCCAGTTTCTGATTCTCTTGGTCTAGTGTGCAGATGAAAACATGAGTTTCTATTAAGTTCCTGAAACAAGTTCCTTTTATTTCTTTTTTAAAATCACAAAGTGCCATACACAGACACCTAAAAGTAGATTCCAATTTAAGGCAGATGGTGCAGTGTCCTGTGACCCTAATGAATGAGAGAAAAAGATGGGTGGGATAGACCCAAGATGTATTATAGACTTAAAACTGTCATGAAATAATTATGACATTATGTGAAATAAATTATGCTGATTCTTTTACATTTGCCAACAATTATTATGTTTTTAATGAGCGTTGATATGATATCTGCAACGAATTAAAAAGCTAAGGCAGTTTCAAAGTATAATTTTGATTAGTTGAGATGCATAAAATAGAATCACACCTTTAGACTGTACTTTGGAACATGAGTTCTGGGATGATACTTCATATAACGTGGAAATACCGGCGTTTCCCACTCAAGCTTTTCTCTTAGCCTCAAAATTTGTTTTATGGCATCAGGCTCTTCAGGTTCTGGCAGAAAGGGGGTTTAGAGGTCAATATAACTACAGGAATAGGCACCATCTAGAACAATAAATGCTATTACAAGTACTTCCACACACAGAAAAATGAAATACTAAGTTAACACAGGTACTACGCAATAAAAAAGAAACAATAGCTTTAAGTTAAGCTTTAACAGGAGCTCAAAAGAAAGCCCAATCACTTGCTTACTTAAAAAAGACATAACAACTTGCACATGTTTGTACAGATGCACACGCCCACATAAGCACATACATGCATCCACTGCAGACACAGACAACAAGGAAGGGGAATAACTACATATGAACATGAAACTCTTGCCAGTGTCCTCTATGCTAGACCATTAGGGATGAATAGACTAATGTCTGCACTTGCTTATCACTTACTTTGCTTGAACTCTATCCCCAAACTGAAATGGATTTGTGGACAAGAAAATATCCATAGTGAAATGTGAGTAGCGTCAAGAAAGAAAGGCAGACAAGTAGGTATCACATAAGGTTTAATTATAGATCATAAGCCACAAAAAAGACTGGATCAGGGCCCTGTCAAAACCCTTCCATTATGAAGGCCTAACAGGACCAAAAGCAATAGGATCAGAAGAAGAGAGAAATCCATGTGGGTAAGAGACCTCCTTCTCGAGAACATTCACTCCTGATATCCCTTGTGTTCCGTTTCTCTTGATCTCTTTGCTAGCTGCTAGTAATTTCATGCTTCTCAACACAACCTTTTTTTCTTTTTGCTTCTATTTCCCATGTTATACAGACTGTCCCCTTAAACTTCATTTTATACCTTTTTTCAGTTTTTAAATTAAGTTTCAAAGTGCACATATTTACAGGGACAAGTGTGATGACTGAGTACATATCTGTGACATATCAGGTATATCACCACCATAATGTTCACCACCCGTTCCTTCTCCTTGAATGCATCAAACTCCTGCGCGGATCTTTCAGAAATGTCAGTTTCTGTGACTCAGGTTCCCTCTGTTTTCTCTCCTCTGTACCGCTCTTTACCATGGCTGCACGGGTTTACGCTCTCATCAGCAGGCTCCTCCTCTTCACATCCTTACCAGCTTTTGTGACTTTCACTGTTCTGACTGGTGTGTGATGGTCTCTCACTGTGTTTCTTATTTAAATTTCTCTGGCGATTAGCAATGTGTAACAATTTCCACACACTTGTTTGCATAGTCTGCCTTTTGGTGTGACTGTTCAGGCAACCTGCCCATTTACTAACTGACAGCTGGTTCTTGAGGTGTTTGTTGTTGTTGTTCCTTATAGATTCTAGAAATTGGCCCTGTGCTTGATGAACAGTTTGAAAATATTTTCTCCCATTCTGTGAGTTGTCTCTTCTCTCTAATGACTGTTTACTTTGCTGTGCAGAAGCTTATTCTATTAAACAATAGAACAAGTCACAGGAGCCTCTGAAAAGTGTACAAGTGTATCAGCAGTGCCACCAACCCCAAAACGCTGTTCTGTGTCTCAGAACAGCCTTCTGGAAGTCATGCATGTCATCTGAATAAAACAGGGTATTTGCTAAGAAATGAAACATGCTCTTTTTATAGAACATCATCAGAACTATGGTGAAAACTCTTCACTTCTTCAAAGCTAGCAGCGGAGGGACTGGAATAAACAGTTCTGCAAGCCAGATGTTCTCTGAGGCCGTGTGCTAGCCCGTTCTGCCCTCCCCCTTCCAGGAACAGGCAGCATGCCGTCTCTCACCGGTGCCACATCCTGCCCATCGGCAGAAGCTGCAGGACACACTACCTATACCCTGCCCACCAGCACTCGGGGGAGGCTGGCTAACCGATGAGAGCTTTCTGCTGAGGTGTTAGACACGTGACTGTTCTGTGTGAGTAAGGCTTCTGACGATAACTCCATGATAAATCCATCTTCGGGTTGTAGCGTCCCAGCAGGAAAAAGAAAAGTGTCCTTTATAAAATGTACAACATTAAAACAATGATTTCGAATGCAAATAAAGTGTCAAAGTGTTAGTGGGGAAAATGTGTTTGACCATTTGGACATTTAGTCTCTGTATCAGACAAAGACATAGCAACTCCAATCTAATCAGGCGTGGCAGTGCAAACTTGTGATTCCAGAGTCTGAGGCAGAAGGATCTTGATTTCAAGGCCAGCCTGACCAACATGGTGAGTCTCTGTTTAAGGAAACCAAAGGCTGACACTACAGCTAGGGGTAGGGCTCTTGCCTAGCATGTGTGATAAACACTACCACACACACACACACCCACACACACCCACACACACACACACACACCCCTGTAAATTATCCTACATGGAGTTCTAAAACAAAACTCCGAGAATATCTTCAGTATGAACATCGCTGAACACTCTTGTCAATTTTAATGCTACTGTTATGTTTAAAAAATTATTGGAAAATTAGCAGTTCTTCAAAGTACCAAACACACAAGACTCATTAAGACTTTTTCCCTAAAGTCAGTGCCCATCGTAGGCACCCAAGCCACGGAAAAGCTTGGAAGTGTGCTCTGTTTCTTACAAGCGGGTGCCGGACCACAGCGTACCTGCCCAGTCGAACGATATGAGCCGGGCTTTCTTCGATTTTGTATTGGCATTAGTTTGTTCCTGTTTTCCTTTTGATTTCCTTCGCTCAGGGAGAAATGATTCTGAAGCCACTGAATATGGCTTATTGAACCTTTCATTAAGGTAATCTGCGAGGAAAAACATAATGAGCCGAGGATCTACTGTGAGCTCTAAGAAGACCAAAGTAATTTCACACACCAAACAATATGGTCAGCCTTTACATGAGGCGTGGGGAGCACATGCGGAGCCAGTGTGGCTGCCTTCACAGAAACAAGCCACGGTACTCCTCAGACTGTTTTGCAAGTGACATGCCATGCCTTCCCTGCCTTTGAAATGAGGAGGTAAAAGGTGCCAGATAAATAGCCACTGCCTTTGACCATGGGGTGTCTTTAGTAACTAGGCTGCAAGCCTCTTGGAATAGGAGTTCGTGACAGTGGCAACTTTTCATAAAGAACTCATCTTTCTCATCTTCCACACCTCCCCTATTGTTACAGTAAGAACCTCAGGCCGACTCCCTGGGAGAGGGCTAGCCTGCAGGCATAAGGTTATTGTGTAAATCAAATGCTGATTTCTGTATCCCCCATATCTGGTTGCAGTCCTTATTCTGAGACTCTCCTGTCTCAATGTTGTATAAACACTGCTCCCCAATTGTCCCCTGATATGCCAATAAAGCAGCTTACAGCCAATTGCTGGAGAGAATAGGCCTGGACATCCTGCCAGCAAGGGGAAGAAGAGTTAGAGGAAGAAGTAGGGATTCAGCCACTAGAGATGTCCAGGAGAGAGAGAGCTCAGCAGGGAAGCTACAAAGTGCAAGTATCTCACTCAGCCATTCTGGCTGCTGATCTTGGTTGGGGATTGTCCTGCACCTAAGGAAACAGATGCTGAGGCTTACAGCCAAACATTGGGTGGACCACAGGGAGTCTTGTGGAAGAGTGGGGGGGGGGGGGGAAAGAAGGGGGCCCCAAAAGGGGGCCGGTTAAGCCAACAAAAGGGGGCCGGGGGGGGGGGGGGGGGGGCTTGTGGAGTCTGAAGCACCAACCAAGTTCCATGCGTGGACTGGATCTAGGCCCCCTACACAGATGTAGCTTATGGGCAGCTCGGTCTTCATGTGGGTGTCCTAGTAAGAGGAACAGGAGCTGCCTCTGACATGGACTCTGTTGCCTGCTTTTTGATCACTTCCTCCTGGTGGGGCTGCCTTGCCAGGCCACAGGGGAAGAGGATGAACTCAGTCTTGATGTGACTTGATGTGCTGGGGTGGGTTCAGAGGGGCTCCCCTTTTCTAAGAAGTAGGGGAGGGGGGATGGTGGGAAGAGGGAGGGGGGATGGGAGTGGGAGGACAGGAGGGAGGGGCCTACAATTGGGATGTCATGTGAATAAATAAATCAATAAATTTAAAAAATTAGTTAATACCATTCAAGTCCTTGCTAAATGTCAGTTGCTTTGCTTAATAATTTTATTATTACAATATGTCTTTAGAGTATGAGTGAATGCTCATAGAAAACAAACATTTTAACTTGGGACTGAGTACAGAACATATTTAAATATGAATGCAGAAGAGTAAAAAGGGTATTGCTCATACTTTTATGGTTTACTTATGGCTTACATATAGAAGACTGGGGGAAATTATTGACAATAGGAATTTATAGAAGCAATTTTACTTGTCCTCTCACATTTAACAAATACTTATACAGCAAGGCACCGAGCTGCAACTTAGTAAGTGACAAAATACCATAACTACAAACAAAACTGCAAAACTCACTTCATGCTGCTGAAACCTGTAAGTCTCATCAAGTCTCATTTCAGCTTTTAGTGCCACTTCAGAGGACCTGAGTGATTCAAGCGAGACTCCCATGCTCATGCTTCCTAAGGAATAAAATGCTGGGAGGTGGCGAGGTTTCGAATTTTGGAGTAGGATGAGAAGTTAAGGAGGAAGGAACCATAAGACAGTAAAAGCATCACTTAGGAGACGGACAACCAGAGAATGTTGGTTTCCTGGACCAGTTGCAGGACAGAGAGTTGTAAGATGTGGTTTTCCCTGAGTACTCTCAAGTGGCAGCTGTTTACAGTCTCATGCACCACACAGCCCAGACTGGAAAGTGGGTTTGTTTTTCTTCTCACTCACTACTCACCACTTCCGAAACAACTTGTACCCTTTAAAAAGAAAAAGAAATCCCTAGTCCTATGAAGCACCTGGCTTTTTTGTTATACCATACACTCCAACATTTCATGGGAATCCAATTGCTTGGTGATTCAGCTAGCATGTAACTTTGGCTCCACAGAGGTCTGCCTTCTCCATTGCAATGCTCCTGAACTAAGACCAGTTTGATGCTATGCCCTTCTGCTACATCCCAGATCTCCTTGAATCTCAACTTATGAACCATTAACATTTAAGCAACTATAGGGCACATCTATGGCACAGACTTAAAAAGGGTTTTTTCGTTTGTTTTTTACAGATTACCTTTAAAGAAATATAATTCAACAATGTGTAGTTTTTCCATGCCTGGCTCCCTCCATCCTTTCAGCTTGCTTTGTACCCCACAACATGGCTACCCTTCACCTCACCAGCATGTCCATTCCACTGCTCTACAACTCTCTTACAACGTACCATCCCTCAATTTTTTCCACCTTCCTTTTTTATCCACTTCAGATAATGCTGACTTTACACAAACTCTTGCCAATATCTTAAACTGCCTCTTCAGATCTGCCCATCTCTGTGCTTTCAGATGATGGTTCACAGCACAGTGGGCCTGGCAACCCCACAAATTCATTTTAATTAACCGTACAAGGACCTTGAACACAAATCAGGAATTCATTTCCATTGATGTTTCACCCACTTGTTCTTTTCTCTTTTGCTGGCCACTTTTAATTTTTTTTTCTCCAAGCTTTTCTAACTTCTAAACAAACTTTGCTTTCTAGCCTCTGTCCTTCAACTCTGCCATGGCTTCTCCTCAGGAAACATGCAGGCTATTGGATGAAAATTTCTTCACCTTGACATTGACACACAAACCAAGCACCCTCATCTGTACCCATGGTTCCTGATTTGGTAAAGGAGCTGCCTGGCTTTTCTTACATCCAAATGAATCCTTTACATCTCTTACTTATATTTCTCATGTCTACACTGTTAACTATTTTCTTCTGCATATACATTCCACATTAAATCCATTCTCTGATGACACTCCAATTATCACTACACGTTGTCTCTTCAAAGGTAAACTTTTCAAAAGAGTTGTAAATTGTCACAATTTATTTATTTATCATCCAGTTCCTAATCCACCGCAGTCTTGGAATTACACCAAAACGGCACTCAACGTTGAGATCAGTACACTCAACAGACATTTTCTAATTGTGATTTTACAACTGTGTTAGTGATGCTTCATACTTTAGACTATGTACATATTTTTTTTTAAGAATGTAGACTGACACAGGGTCACATTTTGTAGCCCTGGCTGGAATAGAACTCACTACATGGATCAGGTTGGCCTTAAACTTGAAACAATCGTACTATCTCTGCTTCCTGAGTGCTAGGATTATGTGGATAAGCTGCCATTCCTAACTTTGATTCTTTCTGATACAGTTCTTTTCCATTGATTTCTGTGACTCATTTCTTCATCATCCTGTTCTACCTCACAGTGACCAACCCCACGTCCATTGCACCTGACCTTTTTCTGGCTCAGAATTGATAGACACTTTCCCTAAGTATTCCCACTGTGACCATGACAAAAACTTCCAATCTTATGATTACTCCCAAATACTTCATTTCAGGCTTAACATCTCTTGACATGTTCAGCTGTCTCAACATCTCGACTGGGATGAACCAAAGGTATTCTCAACTCCATATAGCCAAAATCAAATGCCCAGCGTCTCCCCTAGACTCCACAGATCCTGTGAGGTTTCCTGTTTTAGTGTATGGCCGACTTATTCATTACATTAAAAAGCCCGGAAGCCTAGGAATCCTCTTTAACCCCTCCTGCGCTCTCTGATCCATCAGCATGACTGAGTAGGTCTACCTTCATCACATCTCAAGTCTGCTCACTGGTCTTCCTGAGTCAATTCTTGTTCTTTAATCTGTATCCTTTTCAAAATGGAAATGGGATCGTATTAATTCCTTGTTTAACAGTTTCCCATGGTTGCTGGGGCTGGGGAGGCACACACCCTTAATCTTGGAAGGCAGAGAAAGGCACATTTCTTTGAGTGAGACCATCCTCCTCTACACAGCAAGGTCTAGGCTAGCCAGAGCTACATAGTGAGACCCTGTCTTAAATACAGGATCTGGGTGGGGGTGCCCTAGAGAGATGGCACAATAGTTCAGAACACACACTGCGCTAGCAGAGGGCCTGGGTTTGATTCCCAGTACCCCCATCTAGTAACTCACAACACCCAGAACTGCACCTCCAGGGGTATTCCAACACCCCTGCTCTCTGTGGCATCCTGTGCTCATGAAATACACACACCCACACTCAGATCCCTTCAGGAAACTGGCCACTGACCTTCAGAGGTGACAACAGTTGGAGGAATGGCCTAGGGACTGACTGGGTGGTTTAGGTGACAAACAAGGACAACAATGGCCAAAGTGTGGTCTAGTTCAGACAGGAAAGGAACACTAATTTTGACAGACTGGAAAACACCTGAGTCATGATCTAGAAGGCAGAGAAAAATCTCATCTAAGAAACTGAAGTGGGGTCTGGAGAGACAGGGAAACAGCCACTGCTGAAGATGAAGACCCGAGTTCTCTGTCCAGGGACCAGGAAAGAAAAGCAGCAGTGTGTAATGACACCTGTAGTCCTCTGAGAGGGACAGGAGGACCTTGGGGCCGGTGACCCCTCAGCCAAGCCTATTTGAGAAATGATACCTAATGTTGTCTTACGGCCTTCCATGTATGTGTTATCGCGTGAACATGCACCCACATCCGTGCATATGCACACACAGAGTCAAGAGAAATGAAAGGAAGTTATCAAAAGAGTAAAATTCTGCAGAATGGTGGAGTGAAACTGAAATCTTATCTTTCAATAATTTCTGAGGATTAGCCACAAGGAAGCATCTGGGGACCTTGGAAAAGCAGACTAGGAGGGAGACAGAGCAGGTGAGGAGTGAGGCAGAATGTCTAGGGTACTATGTCAAGAATACGAAC